TATACTTAGTCTAGTTAAAATGAATCCAAAGCAAAATTGACCAAAGTTAAAACAGATAAGAAACAATCAAACAATCAGTCAATAATGAGAAATAATTTGTAGTTCATAAATGAAATTTAAAACTGTGTAAAATGGGAAATGTGCATATTACCAAGTGACACTGAATAAGACGTTTTTTATTAGTTGTGTAAAGTGTCGAAGACAGAAATATCTGATGTATCAAAACCACCCTGACTTATTTTGATGCTCTTTGAACAGTTTGATCCACCTTCTGAACTATCCGTTGGTTTTTGTGGATTTAACAAAACATTCTAAAGAAAAAAGCAACTCTGATGGTGACAATAATGAATCTATTTCTGGAGAGAGCTGTTTTTCAATTGTAATGGAATACAGATCAATTGCACTGGAAATAATGGTTTGTACTCTTAGACATAATTATTTGTTATCTAAGATAGAGACAGAAAATAGTATGAACCAAGAGCTAGCCTCTGATTATGTAGTCTGCTTACTTTTGTCAGAATAAGTGAGCAGTGGGACATATCACCAAGTATAAACGCTGATTACCTAGTATATTGAGATCATTTCAAACAGCTCTAAACGTAAACTAATCTCGAGATCCCTCAGCCGGTTCTCTAAAAACACCTTGCTACTGAACTATAAAACCATACTGGTAAAGACTGTTAATTGTTTACATGATTATGCAACAAAGAGTGTCACCAGGTCACATTCAATATGTGACAACAACACAAGTTATGACATAATTGTCTTTGTTACAAGGTCTTGAACACTTTTTGCACAGTTTTTCTAATCAAAGTCCTTTCAACAGTGACTGACATTCTGACAACCATTTTTTCATTATCCGAGTCAAGTCTTGACTCCAGTGATGACTTCTGCTTGTGTTGTTGTGATGTCAGTCACTACTTACCCCAACAGTCCTCCCCAGGACTACTCTCACATAGACAATCAAACAACATAGCTAGAGGTTAACTACTAATTAACAAATGTAATCATGGCTAATTGTTGTTCCCCTTATTTTTTTTTTTATGTGAACAGCAATTCATTCACATGGCCAATGGATTGTATCAGTACCTCATGGAATACACTTCTAAAACATACTGTAACAAAAACGTTCAAGAAAAATCAAACAAGACTTCAGATAACGATGTTTCTGCAGAAGAAGATTGTGACAATGAGGAGGAGCAAGGTAATTAGCAATTATTCCACAAGCGGGCATTGGATATGAGATGATAGATAGCCAACGAGGCGCGTAGCGCCAAGTTGGCTATAATCATCTCATATCCAACAAGCGTGAGTGGAATAATTGTTTTATTAAAGAAAATGCTCCCAAGGTATTAGAAAAATCCTCTTGATTTTATTTTGTAAGAAGAAACCGAATGTTTCCATGTACAGATATGAGATTATGGTATATTGGCTCATATACCATGATGGCTAAGCCAATGAAAAGTCTTAAATTGCATTATCCAATGATCCAGTTTTTAATAACTAAAATTATGCCATAAACTTTCTGGAAAATACTTCAGCCAGCACTTTTATCATGATCATAAAGCTGTAGGTTCTGCACTTGATCCTTCCTTTTGAATACTTTTTCCATTATATTTTTTATTTAGATTGAATTCACATCATCAGTGGGTCTTAGATGATTTAGTTCAAGTGCTACTCTATGATGTTATTTTCAAAGACATGTGAAAAATTAATCCTTTTTGTTGTTTACCATGAAGCTCTGAATTTGTTTTAAATATGAATGGCTGTAATTTGTAGTTGGAATGATTATGAAAGATATTGTTTCTTGTTTACTTTCCTTTTCGTTTTTGTTTTCAAGAAATTAGCCATTATCCAGTGTTAGGTCTTGGCTGTTTTGTTTATTTACTTCTTGTGGAAAAGATGGAGGACACAAATATCCCTGCAGTTTTTAGGTAAGTGATCAAAAGGGAATGTCTCCTGATTATACCAATACATTTCAAGTTGAAAACTTATGAGAAGAAAAATAAAAAAATATGATTTGGATGATATTGTTAGATTTAGCAACAAATTCTCTAAGCTGAAGTTGTAAGAAATATACAGCAGACAGTTGAGAGAATTTGTATTTAGATCTTGGCAGTGAAAGGGTTGATACTTATAAGCTGACAGTTGACTCAAGTCCCTTATTAATTAAGTATTTAGTGACACCAGGAAGAAAAAATTGTTTTTGAAAATTTTTTACAGCTTCAAATATTTACTAAAAGTCAACATCAAAAGCATCTTCTTCCTTCTTAACAGGTCAGTTACTTCATAAGAATTGTTTCTTTTCTTTTTTAATTCCAAGCAGGAGAAGACTTGTGTTTCAGTTCTCCTGTAAATAGTGGGAGACTAAAGCGTAATGGCCACTCCCAAGCTCAGGGGTGGATACTGATATTCCTCATTTATCTGCACTGGATACCAAATATCTTCTAATATTGCTAATAGATTTATGCAATTTTAATTTTAATTGCATCAGGGGTGTCTCCACACAGAATATTAAAAATTATGAACAACAAGATAATATATCGAAACTCAGACTCCCTAGTATATATATATAGATACATACATACATACATACATACATACATACATACATACAAACAATACATACACATACATACAAATACATACACGTACATACACCCACATACACACACATACACACACAAACATACACATACATCCACATACACACACAAACATACACATACATACACATACATACACAAACATACGAATACATACACATACATACACATACATGCACATACATACACATACATACACATACATACACATACATATACATGCATAGACACACATATAGATATATATACATACATATACATACATATACATTTATTCAGGTATTTTGATTTAGATAGTTTGGTACAGCTGATTAAAAGAGCTTCAGATACCTGAATACACCATAAGTTCTGGCCAACCTTGGTAGCTAGAAAAACAAAAGAAGTATTACAGTAAATACAAATCTCTTAAATGTTCTCCTTCACCTTGCAGAACTGAACATGGTGTCATTTACAAGGGTTTGGTGTGTATTTTGTGAGTGCTAGTGTTTCATTTAATGTTTTTCTTAATAGACATTCACTTCGTATCATAATTTGTAAGTGTCAACGATCAATCAGTCATCCAATTTTCTAGAAAAGAGGGGTTCATAATCAGTGTTATTTAGCACTGAAAAACGTTTGTCTTTTTTCAGGAATTGCTGGACACATTGTCAAAAAGACTCAGAGACAAAAGTTTGGTGTATAACCACGATGAGTTCAAAGATTTAATGAACATTGTTAAGGTGGGCAACATGTTTCATATTAAGCTGAGTAAG